TTCTACTTTATTAGCCTTTTCTTTTATGGATTCATTTTTAATTATTATTGCTTTATATTGCCACATTATTTATTTCTTATTTTATTTATTCATCTTTTTATTTTCACACATTCAGCGAAGTCTTTCCCACCTTAAAGTCCTCGTCCACCATGAAGTCACAGCCAATCAGGTCGAAGAATCCCAGGCGGCAGTCGAGCTTCAACTTAACAGCCAAGAAGCACTGCGTCATGATGTGCTGCATGCGCTTCTGATGCAGGAAAAGAGAAAATTATCCGTCGTTCATTAGGCTGCTTCACAACGACATAAAAAATAAAATAAAATTAAAAAAAGTCAGTGCATTGTTTAGTTTACAGATTTTCCATATTTTTGAAATGCAAGAAAATATCAATGAAAACTACAAAAACTAGAACAGACAGTGGATTAAAAGCTCGAGCTGTGAATAACCACAAAATGATTTTAGATAAAACATTTTTTTACATGTATAGACTTAAAATAAAGTTGTTCATTGATCATATTATCACACATATTTTCTTTTCACTTAATAAATGAAATGATTGCATTCAAGTTTTTCAAGCTTAATACTGAATGTAATGTTTGAAATTTAGAGAAAAAGAAGAATTTTTTCTGTTATTTTTAGATTTGACTGTAATAAAAAGATGTACTGGAGCTATAAGCAAAAGTAATCAGTGAAAATAATTTTTTCATGTAAAATTCCTTTAATAAACATTAAAAAGCACAAGAAACACATGATCTTGTGTAAAATTAAGGTTAGAAAATATATTAATTACAGACTTGATGGTTATGTTTCATTATTTTATAATACTTTTTAGCACCTCAGCTTCCAGATTATTTTTGTTTTTTAGGTCTTTTAGCAGGTTTGAAGCAGGTTTCCTCCAGAAATAAAACGTATTCTGCTCTTTTTAAATGATTTGGCTTCAAGACGGTTCGACTGGATTCGCTGATCTGTTTGTGATTTGTTATGGAAGAAATGATGCACAGACTTCCAATAGCGTCTTTTAGACAACAGCTCACTTCTCAGTTGGACGTGCACATAGGTTTGCATTTGCACCTAGTTTCTATTAAGTAAACAGGCACGTTGTGGTCGACCGTCTGCACTCGATGTGTGTCACGATCAGGGTCTGAGGTTTCACTCTGACAGGTGAGGCTACAAACACCAAAAACATGTCGCACAAGCTGCACTGCAGTATGTGTTGTACTGCACAGAAAAACAACATGTGGAATATTTAATGTTGGTGATAAGCTGATGCATCCTCAGACAGGAATAAGCTCATCCAGATGAAGTCTCAATTAGCAGCGAGGCCAACAACCATCCTTATTATGGTGGTAATTGGTCCCTGAGAGCTACAGCACTCACTGCAAAGGCGCCCAGCACCCAGTCCCTGGGCAGACCCTTGGCAACCTGGAACTCATCGTTGACGTAGGCGTTGAAGCTGTCCATGGACCACACAGTGTCCTCCTTCAGCTGGCTGTACAGGGGGTTCTTCTTCTGCATGTACTGGACGTGGACAGCAGGGGGACCAGAGACACATGGAGCAGGCAGCAGAGAGACAGGAAGTCAGCGCTACAGCTCCATCAAAGCTCTTTGGATATGATACCGATGGTTACTGTGTAAGTAGGATGACGTGTAAATATCCCTACAGCAATACTTTAATATAAAAGTACTATTGGGCACCAAGAATCTGACATAAACATAAAATATTCTCCACAGAAAGTAGAACTTAAATTAAAAAAACAAGAGCAAAATAAAACCGGACATCAAAAAAAGTCTGTCCTGGTCTAAAATAAATTATTATAATGAATTCTTCACCTAAAGATGAGTAAAGTTTTGTCTTGTTCAACAAGATGGAGAACAGCAGCTGGTGCTGTAATTTATAGAGAACTCAAAGTGAACTGGATCCTGTGTGCTTTTAAATAGAATGCATAAATAAAAACAAAAATAAAAATTTGAACACTTATTCTGTCAAAGGCTGGTGCTGACATTTAGGAATTTGTTTTATTCCACTTAATGTATTAATTTAAAGAGTCAGTTGGAGCTCTATTTCACCACCATGACGATACCTGCTGGTTGCTAGGAGACATGGGACACGCTGTAAACTCTGTGATGGGAACATCTCTCTCTGGTTTTCATTAGATATCACCAATAAAAAGAATGAGACGTGAATATCTCCACAGTTAAACTTTCAATATCAAACTACTGTTGTGCAGAAACTGGGTTAAATATCAGATATATTAAATATGTTGCTCTTAAAATCTTAACTTTAAACTAATGCACAGCTTCTAAAAGACAACAGAAGTCAGCAAATCAAGGCCTCATGTAAACCATGTCTGGTTCCCTAAAACGTGGGAATGCCGTGTTCAAACCGTCGTGTTCGGCTCTACCTGATTGGTCAGATGGGCGGACAGGTTGCTGGAGCCGGGGTCGTAGAGGTCGCAGGTCAGCCGCACATACCCGTGACGGAAGAAGACCATGTACGGCGCGACGCAGGCGATCAGGAGGAAGGAGCGCACGTCAAACTTCTTCCCTTTCAGGAGCAGCGGGTTCTGGATGTAGCTGGATGTGATCACGACAAGCTGTAAATGTTCTGTGAGCGTCTGAAGAGTTTCACAGCTCTTCTCCTCATCACTCGTTTATCTTCTTTATGTTACTGATGCTTCTCAACAATTAAACAAAAACTGCATGTGAGGGTTAAACCTCCTGAAACGAAGCTCATCAGGCAAAATAGGACATATTTTCTGCTCCCTGTCCAGACAGAAAACATCAGATGGCTTTAATCTGAACCACTCAGTGTCTACGTACTGTTGGACGACGTGCGCCTGAGGCTGGCGGTGGTGAAGCTTCCCGTCGGCCCGGCGCTCCTCCATGTGCTGCAGCTTCAGTCTGAAGGCAGCGACGTCCTCCTGGCTCTTCAGAAGGAAGATCCCTCTGCCCTGGTTCATCCCCGTCGGCTTACAGATCCACATACGGCTCACACCTGGTGACGATAACAGAGTGACATCAGATGTGTGTGCTGATGTGGAGGCTCTTATCCAAACATGTTTCATATTCAGGGTCCAACTTGATCCTATCACATCAAATAATACTGCTAATCGTGCTACGTTACAGTCGTTGTTGTTGTATGGACGAGACATCAGCTGTGTGTGAATCACTCCTGATGTTCTCCTCAGTACGCTGGATCTACCCTCCAGATGTGACATGTGTCAGCAGCCTGATGCAACACTGGGTTACAAAAAATACTTCTATGAAGGTGTCGAGGATTTTCTAACTGATTTAGGACATGTTTGTGACGCTGAATCCAAAAACGACATCTGCTTTTCTGCATCAGGTCAGGTTTTTATGCCAACTCCATTTAAAAAAATCTATTTTACCACTAAATCGAATACATTTTTTGACTTTAGCGACTGATTTACTTTAATACTTCTCATATTTTAACTTTCTAATAGTTTTCATGAGCTAAATGATCCACAAGTTGATGAGCGTAAACATTAGTACAGATAAATACAAGTAAACTGCATGTTTCATCAAATCATGGAGCAAAACCAGTGTTGTAATATCTGGATTCAGCACATTGCAAATGTACAAAACCAGCTCAAAAACCTTTGACACCAAAATGGGTGTAGACCAGCGTTATCAATCTGTGCTCTTCTACGCCGCTGAATTTCAGACATTATTGTGTAAATAAAGCACAAACAATAGAGCAGAATATGAAGCATTCTGCATAGTAATCAATTAAACAAAATGCAGCTTCTTTAATATTAGAACCCTGATGAGGGCTGTTCTACCGTCTGCTGGGAACTTTTAAAGTATTTCTGCTTTCTGATGAACTCAGCGTTAAAGACAGCGAGTGCATCGTGGACAGACTTTATTTTACTTCCTGTCTGTGTTCCACTCTCTAAGCTTTTGGTTCTGCCTCTTTTCCTTTCCATTGTCTTCCACAAACCCGTCCATCACCCAGAGATCCGACCCAGCTGTCTGTGTCTTTCTCCTGTTTGCTTTGTGATAACCGTGTTTGTCAAAAGCTGGACGCCGCCGCCGACCGTCACGCTGCGTCTCTGTGCAGCTACAGTCAGTACCAACAGCAGCACACAGACGTGAACCGCTGTTTGGGTTTATAGTTGAATCTATTTTATTCACATCCCGCCGAGCGCCTCTCCTCCTGTTTGTGTCTCAGTTGTGCCCTCTGCTGACTCGTCTCCACGGCAACAGCATGTTCCCCTGGTGATTTTATCAATGCCTCATGGGAGGTGAAGTGCATTATTTTCCAACATCCTCGACCTCCTGATTAAACACTCACCGAGGCAACCGTTGTCCCAACGCCACCGAGCACAAACCGGACTGGTTTGATTTGATGTGAAACTAAATCCAGACAAACCAGTGACGGATTGTTCTGGCATCAGGGTATCAGTGGGTAAGAGGTTAATGCAGACGTGATTTTACCCTCCTGTTGGGCAAAGAAGGCCTCCCTCTCCTCCCTTACGTCCATGCGGAAGGTCGTGGGAATGAACTCCTCCATTTTCAGCCTCCTGTGAATCACATTAAAATAAAACTAATGGATTCGTGTTTAAACCACAAAATGATCGACTGGTCTGAAGCTCAGACCACAACTGGCTTTAAATCATCATCACACATGGACAGAATGTTAAATATTGAGCTCTAAAGTCAGTTTAAGTTGTTTATTTAGTTATTGCTTTAGTTTTTATATACTTTTATATGAAGAGTTCATTTAGAAAAACAGATAACTCCACCTTCACAAACCTTCAGAAAACCCACGTTTCCATCGTCTACCTGAGACAGTGTCAGTCAGTTATTTCTATTTCTGTCATTTCTACTGAGTCAAACCCACTCAGCTTCAGTTTGACTGATATTATCTCTAGTATCTCTAGTTATCTGTTTTTGCAGATGAACTCTTCACATCTTGTCATGAAGAGGATGAGCAAAATAATAATGTCATTGTACGACGTGACGGCCTGGTTTCACATGACAATAAGCCTCTTAGTCCTTGAATCTTAAATAAACTGTGGATGTTTTCTCTATGAATGAACATTTTACCCTCATTTACACTAACATCTCTTCTGCGGGGCTATTTTGGTCACCACTGACTGCAAAGTGTTAATTAGTCTGTGCACATCATTTATTTATTCAGTAATATTACCTGTAAAATAAGAAACCAAGCGATATCATTACAGGACTTCTTAACTGTCATACTGACATAGTTTTCAGCTGCTACAAAGGCAGGAAATAATTCATAAAATGTCGTCATAGCTTTTGTTTTTTGTGTGGCCACGCTGTGATGGACGGACTCAAGCAGGTTTTACAACCCTGGAAATAAAGAAGACAGTGATATAGGAAGGTTGGAGGACATCTACCTGTACGGTAGGTTAAATAATCAGAGTTTATAAACACCAGATACACTCAGAGATGATCTAAAGTGGCTTTGTTCTGACAGGGAGAGTCATACAGAACTGTAGAGTTCATTCACTGCACGTCCTCACAAACACTGATCACAAAAATACTTTTATCAAATGTAGTGTAAAGGTTTTTATCTCTTTAAATAGATTATTTTCCCTGTTCCGGCTTTTATCCTGAATGCCTGCACATAACGTCACTTACTCTACAAACAACAGGGTGCAATCAACCTTTACATCTAACATCTGGCAGGAAATAATGTCCATCCATCCATCATCTCTACACCTTAATCCTCACTAGGGTCATGGGGGGCTGGAGTCTATCCCAGCTGACTCAGGGTGAAGGCAGGTTCACCTGGACAGGTAACCAGTCTATCACAGGGCTACACTTAGAGACAGACAACCAAGCACACTCACATTCACACCTACGGACAATTTACAATCACCAATTAACCTCAGCATGTTTCTGGACTGTGGGAGGAAGCCGGAGAACCCGGAGAGAGCCCACACTGCACGGGGAGAACATGGAGACTCCACGCAGGAAGATCCCGGGTGTCCTCACCGGGACGTAAACCGAGCCACCTGCAGCCCACAATTACACTTGACCATCTTATTTTGTCATTGCACGTGGGAATGTTTTGGTCTTCCTTTTATTCCATTTCACACGTTCATTTACAGAATCAGGTTTGTGTTTAATGGAGCTTTTTGGTGATAACTGACACACAATATGTGTTCTTTGATGTCTGATGATGCAGTTTGGACGAGTTTATTAAACAGAACATCAAGCTGATATGTTCTCCAGTAAGTGTTTAGTCGTGTCTCTCTATCAAGTCAACCATCATGGTGCTGGACGGTTGCTTAGCGATCTGTAAACTCAGTGATGTAAATATATCCCTGTGCTGTGATAGACACAGCTGATGAGAGATTTCTATGAGAGGCAACGACAGGAGAAGACAGAGTTACAGCCGTCCGGTTCACCTGAGCCCTCGGCCATGTTTGACTTTGCTGCTCACGCGCTCGTACTCTCTCAGGCTGCTGAGGAGGCCGATCTTAGTGGTGAGCACCGCGTTGTTGGGAATCTGGAACACCAACTGTTCACCTGGAGACAAAACACGACGCCTTCAGGTTCTCATTTCTTCATTTTCTTCTTTTATTTCTTCTTCAAGTAACGAGACAAACATCCACTGTGTATTTTTTAAATCTGTATGATTTCCTTCCAGTAACATTGTGGTAATCTTATATTGAAACATAGCAAAAGGCACACATCCTAAATACCTTCTCTGAAGTTGCAGTAGCTGCCTGGTGATTTGGTCTCACACCACCTGAGTCTGAAGTCGTCCCGGTGCTTGTTGTGGATCCGTGTCCATCCTCTGCTCTCACAGTAAGCGCTCACTCTGCAGGAAAAGTCACACAGAAGTTCAATCAAACAACCAACCAGAGGTCAACAACAGGCCCAAACTAGAATATAAAACATGTGAAAGATGTGTTCTGCCAGCATGGAGTCTCACTTTAAGTCATCACTTTGATTTCTTTTTGGATTGGAGAACTTTAAACGGGATATGGGGACATCTTTGGAACAATAACAACTTGATATATCGGCCATCACATCGGTCCAATGAGCAAATTTAGCAGGAAGATCCTCCAGACTGATCAACAGCTTCATGCCACCGGCTGTCAGGATGCTGAACTGCTGATCCAGATGTGCAAACACTCCTTTGTTTAATTGCTTTTAGTTTTTGGATCCTGAAGAAACACTCTCTCATCTCGCCTGTACGACTGTTGTATGAACAATAAACTTGATTTGATTTGATTCGTCTCTATTTCACAGATATTTTTACTTAAATGATCCTGGACTTGAACGTTAAATATCTCAAAATATGCTTACATCTGTTTTATTTTGAATTAAGGCGCCTATGTGGTCTCATTTGGGCTTCTTGTGAATAGTCTTCTCACAGTGCGTACTTATACTCATTTTTTTTGGTGTGAACAAAAATAGAATATTCACATTGGTGATATCGGTATCGGCCAGAAATCACTAAATCCAACGTCTTCATTTCATTTTGTCCAACTTACATTTCAGCCCCGTTGGTTCCTCCAAAGAAAAAGAAAGGTCCAGGCCCCCGGGGCTCCTCTACCTGCCTCCTGCTGCCCCTGTGTGGGTGGGAGCATGAGGACAAGTCCCTTGTTTTGGACTTCTGGAGGTGTCGTCCACCGCCACCAGCATCTGATGCTTCTACACACAGAAATGAAGCGTGCTCACATTATAGGTTTAATCATGTGGTAATGCAGCTTTTTATGGTACAAAGAGGAACAAACATCAGTGGATTACTGTAGCTGATGGAAGTATTTCATCTCAAGTGTCATTAAGGATCACACCTGAAGCTCCACATCGGCTCTCCTGGTTGACAGCCGAGTGGGAAAATCTTTTCTTTTCTTCCAGAGTGTGAGTCTCCTCCCTCTGCTCTGGTCCACCATCTGATGTCATGATGCCAATAAGGTCAGCTGATGTTCCTGACTCCACCTGACTCCACCTGACTCCACCTGCCTCAGGCTTCCTGCAGGCTGCTTCTCCCCACAGGGAACGTCTGCTTCCTCATTTTCCTTTTCTTCCCTTCAGTGTGGTCTCCTCTGCTTGGCCATTACCTGCACTCAGACAACATGAGGCCAAACTGGTGGAACTTGCTGGAGACCATTACATTTGTTAGGTGCACCTCTTGTGGTTTGTAGTTAAATGGATATGTCATGGTGAGAGTATTCAGAGAATGACTTTACTGATCCTCTGATCTTTTGCCAAGCATTGGTTCAAACGTTTTAACCAACATGTATGGCGATGTCATGGTGTTTTTCTTAAAGGAAATGAGAAATTAACTTTGTTTTAAAATTTTTTGTAGTTACTAGAATAGAGTTTAATTCCTCATAGCAACAGCATCTAATCAGACTGAAATGTCAACCAGCTGTACAGGATTATTCACAATCTAATCACTGATTGTATGAATGTTTTGTTATGTTAAGGGTTTGTACTTCTTAATTTTTTGTTCAGTTTAATTAGAACTTCAGCTTCTGGGACTTGCCAGCACCTGCTAGGACTTTAATATACAATTTTAAACAGGAGAAATAATGTAAAGAAAACGCACCATTTAGAAACAAACATTCTAAACTAGAAGACAGAAGCTGAGCTGTATTATATAAGAAAGTTAAATGTCTTTACCTGCGACTCAGGCGGCACACACATGGACAGCCAGACTCCATGAAAACCTCCTCAGCCTGCTCTTCCTCCACCACGTGTTCTCGACCTTGTAGTTCCAACTGCAGGGCCAAGACAAACAGCAACACACTCTATAGGACCCACCTGACAGAGGTGGACTCACATGGTCCGCCTGCAGTTTGCCCAACAACACTTAGAAAACAATGGAAGTAAGCAAACTCACTCCAGCAGTGTAAACAGTCAGCAGTAACACAGGTAATGGGACCCTTAGCAACGGTTGCCACTCAGAATCTTGAAACGGCGGCTCAAGACAAACTCAAGATTATGTATCCCACACACCCCCACCCCACCACCTCTAAGTTTAGCTTCATTCAATATTGAGAGCCTGTAAGCCTCTGTTGTGTGAAGCCTATGGTAACAGGAGAGCCGAGTGTCAGTCAGAATGGATTTGCCAGTTTTCCAGGGTATTATATTCTGACACCAAACGGTAAATTAATATCGTCCAGTGGCTCAGACGGTTTGTAAGTTTTAAGTGCCATGAAAAAAAAAAAACAGTAAACAGAATATGTGTGATTGTGGCAGTGAGTTTTAGGTCTTTATCTTCTGCTTCTTCTGAAGACTGTCAGCCAGGATTTCAGGATGTCCACTCACGTTTATGGTCATCTTTAACCTTCCTACCAACGTCTTTTAACTACTAACTGTGACAAGATCAACCAGTTTTATTATACCTAGGAATAGGTTTATTATGCAAGCACAAACTTTAAACCATCAAAGTAAAAGCTTCAACACTTATTTTATTTTATTGGCCTTTTTGCCTTTATTATTTTGAAAGGGCTGTGAGCAGGATTCAAACTCATGACCTCTGCATTGGGGATTAGAGCCCCTGTACATGGGACGCCAGCTCAACCAGTTGGGTTATAGCAGCGCACCTATTTATTTATTTTTAAAGTTTTTTTTTTTTTTTTGGCCTTTATTTGACAGGAAAGTAGAGAGAAGAATGAAGGGAAGGACCAGCAGCAAATGGCCATGGGCTGGATTCGAACCCATGACCACTGCGTCGGGGACTACAGCCCCGGTACATGGGTCGCCAGCTCAACCAGTTGGGCTATAGCGGCGGCCCAGTATAGTTTATTTAGAAACTCTAGTAACCTTTTCTAGTATGGACACAACATATGGATAAAATAAATCTACAGTTTGCTCAGGTCATACCAGCTTATCATTTATAATAACAGCACTGGGGTATTTCTTGGATCCAGATACAGAATCGTGAGATGATTCACAGACGTTGCTCACAAACTGTCTGCTGGATGCTGTGGGTCTGGACCCTGCTGAACCCTAACCCTACCTCTACCCCTACCGCGGTCACTACCACGTGGAGGAGGCTGGTTGTCAACAGACGCTGGTTCAAATGATTCAGTGTCACTGCAATCAGATGGATCTGATATATGATCATCTTCCTCTGAAATGCCAGAGTCTTCATCTGCCTCTAAGATATTTTTCAGGGCTTGTGCAGCAGTGTGTCTTGCTGGCCTTGGCGGCTGTGGCTCAGGTGGTAGAGCGGGTTGTCCTCTAATCGCAAGGTTGGCGGTTTGATCCCCTCCACAGTCGAAGTGTCCTTGGGCAAGACACTGAACCCGAAGTTGCTCCCAATGGCAGACTAGCGCCTTGCATGGCAGCTCTGTCGCCATGTGTGAATGTGTGTGTGAATGGGTGAATGAGAAACATTGTAAAGCGCTTTGAGTGCCGCAAAGGTAGAAAAGCGCTATATAAGTGCAGACCATTTACCATTTATGCATAGTCTGAGGTAAATATGTTGGAAAATTTCAGATGGGATCCAAGTAGACCTCAGTAGGCTACCTCTCAATAACATCCATGCATCTAGAAGTAACACACGTACTAGAACGAGCTCATATTGTCAAAAAAACTCCTGAACTTTTTTGTGCCTCTGAAATTCTTGTGGTGAATGAAAAACACCATCAGTTGGACCCCAGTCGGTAGGATTCAGGTTAGATGTCATTTCCTCATGCAGCTCCACATCATCACCACCAGGACTGTGCATCCACTGTGGTAGTCCTTGACAGGTTCCCACCAAACAAGCTGGAGCCTAGTTGAGCCAAACAAATTTATCTTGGGCTCATCTTGCCAAAGAATTGTTTTTAAGTTATTTTTTTGGCCTTTTTTGTGCCTTTATTTGATAGTGAAGTGAGAGAGACAGGAACAACAATTTCCCTGAGGTACCCTACCAAAGTTCTATCTAATCTAAATGGGGGAGGACATGTGGGAAAGGGCCATGAGCAGGATTCGAACTCATGACCTCCACATCAGGACTGTAGCCCTGTACATAGGACACTGGCTCAACCAGGTGAGCTGTAGCGACGCCCTTGCCAAAGAATTTTTAGCAAAGATTCAGTTTTGTTCCAAACAGCAAGCATCCTTCACACTGCCTGAGCTGTTGCAGAAACACTGACTTACACTGATGAACCCTGTGTGAAGGCTGAAGCACATGTCCATCTGTTTTTATAGAGCTACTTGTGCAAACACTATCTGTAGCGTCCTCTTAGGAAGACGACCACTGCAGCTCTGATCTTTTAATTTGCCCCACTGACCTTTCTGTGTCCTTCTCCATCTTTCTAAAGTCTCCCAACCAGATCTTTCAGTTCCTATGACCATGTGGAGCCGTGGTGCAGACATGCAGATAGACACAGCTCGTAGGTCCAAACCTGAGATGGTTCTGGTGCTGATTTTAAACCCATATTCATGCAATTAGGCTGATTAGCAATCACAGGTACAGGCAATTTAGTTCTTCTAACTAGTGTGTCAGTGATCACACTGAGTTTCCCCTTAAAAATGTGTTTTTGACTGTTTACAGCATTATTTACCCTCCAAATAGTCCAACTTTGAGTGTTTCAGTTGTTTAAGGCACAAAACAACTTGAGCTGTGAGTAAACGCGAGCCCTCCGGTGAACCTCAAGCGGGCTGAGAACACGATTGTATTTTCACACTAATTCGTGCAGCTGAATCACTGTCATTAATCACACAGTCTAGTGCCAAATCCAACAGCAGATATGCAGTTGAGCAACATAGTGTTTGTCTGCTCGCATGGCAAATCCACTAATCACCTTCTGTCTCCGTGATTTGACTCAGGAGGAAACACCCAGGCCAAGCTACAGTTGGCAATTATGCATAATCTCCTCTCTTCCTACCAAACAGCCTGATAATTGACAGGGGTGGGTGCCTCTTAGACCCAGCACCCATGCAACCGTATAATTACACATGCAGCTCGGTAACCATGAGCAACACAGCCCGAGTTTCAGCACGCAGTCAAAGTTTAGAACGTGTTCCGAGCAAAGCAAAAGAACATGGACGCCGACTTCGTATTTGAGCTTCATGAAGCTAATCTGGACCGATGCTCTTGTTCAGCTGTTTCCTGACTGGGTCAAAGATCACAGCAAACACAATGCTTCAAGTCAGATTTACCAGCATCTCTTGAGTTTATTTTACAGTTTGTTTTATTTGTGAGGCTATGAGGTTTAATGATTGTGCCTTACCTGCATGTCAATAAAGGGAAATTAAACTTTTAACTGGAGCAGGTGTTGCAACACATTTAATAAGTCATTTACTTTATAGGCAGGAAGCGATCGTCGGTCCGGTCAGTTCAGTCACACAAATGGCTTCAAGAACGAGAGAGCAGCTCGGTAATAACGCGAGTCCCAACAGTCGCAACACCCCGGTTATTAAAAGCAGGACTCCCTTATTCCTGCTCAGCAGAGCTTTGTGTGGAGCCGGTGTCAGCCACACCTTGATAAAGAGCCGCCATCTGATAGACACGGTGTGCAAGGTGCTGCGTAGGTGGACAAAGAGAACAGGCTTGTTTTACAGCCCCGCCGACCTCATGGTCCGCCATCTGCCAAGACGCTGTGTGTGTGTGTTTCTGTATGAGATTACACGTATTTGCTCGTGTGTTCTGTGCCACAGTTTGTTCCTTTTTTTGTGTGTGTGTGTGACATAACAGACGATTAATATATTCCTGATTAGATCACAGAGTCAAACACTGTGGAAACACTTTTTAGCTTTCATTTTCTTTGGAATAATAAAAATCCAAATTTCTGCAAGTGGTGTTCTTCTCATATTTATCCATAGAATATAGAAAACATCACCGCCTGACTACCTTGGAAAAAAATGTGACTTTTCAAACAGAAACAAACGAGCTGCACTGTCAAACTAAAAACTCTATTTTATATTACTACCATGTGCGGAGTCGCTGTGTGTGGTTGCGGCTT